TGATATCTGCTGTCAGAGAAGTATTTTATGAGTTAAAGATGATCTTCTTTAGAAAATCTGTTATTTATTACTATAATTCAGAATGTAGAATATATCTGAAAATAAATACTTTGAAATATACTGCAGGCATGATATTACTACATCTGTTTAACAATAAGTAATATTCAGTTGTTTACTAGTTATTCAAGTTTAATCAGACTTAATAAGTCTATAGTATACTGAATAAGAAGATGTTAGTTATTGTCTGAGTATTTGTTTATTAGTAACAGTACTTAGAAGAAATAAAGTATTCTGTAGAGATTATTATAAATTATGCAAATCTTTGTTTATTTATGAAGTTTATAAACAAGATAGCACAATAATAATATATAAGATAAATAAAGACTCTTTAAAATATATGACCTTGAGATTCTCTACTGTTCTCAAAAGTATAATTCAGCTGATATATTATCACAAAGATCAAAGTATATTAAACTAGAAAAAGATATTAATCTGCTGATGTATATGCTTAAATAATATTATATAAATAGTGTTTCAGAGTGAGATTTATTTGAAGAAACTTTCTTTAATAAAGAAGATATTCAAGTATGTGCTACTTGTACTATCTAGGGTAGTGAGTTAAAAATGGCACAGAAGAAATCTAATAGTATTAAGATAGTTAAGTTAGTTTAAGAAGCATCAGTCAGAAATACTGAAGAGACTTAATAAAGAAATTACAGAAAACTTTGAATTCTCTATATATATATGACTATAATAATAAAAGATGAAAAAATTTATAATAAATCAACTGTAAGCATGTTAAATCTGCTGCTAAAGATACAGAAAGATAATCTCTTTATATAAGTAAAATTTACTGAAGCAGAATTTTAGCAGTTAGAGTGAAAAATAGATAAGATTTTTCAATAAAGAGCAGCAGAATCTATATCTCTAATAATCTAGCTCTAAGACAGAAAGTACTATAAGTTCATCATAATAATTTATTTACAGATTACTTTAATGTAGTAAAGATATCTATCTTGCTTTAGTAAAAATATAATTAGTAATTAATAAGATAAGTTGTTTAGATATATATATGTGAATGCCAAATCTGCTAATAAAAGAAGACTTCAACACACAAATTATATAAACTGCTTATATTATTACTGATATTCAGTAGACTCTGATATATAATATTTATGAACTTTATAATAAATCTTTCTCTAAGTAAAGAGAAGAGAAATTCATACAATATAATTCTGATTATTGTGAATTGATTTACAAAGCTTGCATGTTTTCTTATATATAAAAAGAAGATTAATATATCAGAGATAGCAAATCTTTTATTAAGAAGAGTATTTAAAGATTTCAGATTTTCAAATAATATTATTTCAGACAGTTATTAAATAAATAAATAGAATAAGAAATAGTCTGAACAACAGAGTAAAACTAAATAGAAAAATAATAAATAAAAAAAGTGGATTTTTAATATTTAATTAACATCTTAGCAGGTACAGAACTGTGATCTCAAGCAAAAATTTTTGTTCTAAAAATGAAAAAATGTTTTAAAAATAAAGAAAATCATTCTATATATGGTAAAAACCATACATACTATAATTGAAAATGGAGTAGGTATAAACTCTGTGCCTGAGTAGTAAGTAATTACTATAATAAATATTACAGTTTGCTGGAAATTAGTATTAAATAAGGAACATTTACAAAAAGAGAGATTATATAAAATATTATCTATAAAATCTGTAGTAAATAAAGAATTATCAGATAAATTACTTTATTATTAACAAAAAAACTAACTCTATTTTTATATTTAGAAATATGGTCACATTTAAAAGTTTTAGAATTTATTTGTTTGCAAACTTGATCTAATTCTTCTTCAGTTTAGATATTTGATTATGATTAGTTAATTATTTTTCAAAAGAAATAGATTTTTTAATATATAAGGGAAATAATTTTAAAAGTTAGATTTGTTACACACTGAAAATGTATGTAAATTTAGTCCTACTAAGATATTTATCTTGTTTGATAATATTAATTGGTTACAATCTTAAAGTTAAATTTTTAAAACAAAATTTAAATAATTTTTATATTATTTAGATTTTAAACATGTTAGTTTAAGAGTTAGAATATTATGCTACACAGGCATTTGCTGATGCTTTAAATATATATCAAAATAATTTAATTTATAATGTTCTTCTATTTGTATAAATTGAAATTGTTTACTACTAAAATCAAAACAGGATAAACCTGTTTTAGGTAAATGTATTGTTCTATATATCTTTTATCAATACATAAGATTAAAAGTTTATTAGGTGTAGGTATTTTAAGCTTCAGAAAAAGAAATGAAATAGAAATGGTATCTTTAAGAATTAGAGATAAAGACCATTTGAAAAATTTTATTCTACCTATGTCAATTGAGAATGTTAATGAAATAATTAATGATATTAGTAAAAAATTTAAGGTGTAGCATTATTAAAATATCATTATCATAATTTTAATTTGACTATATTAGTAGTTGGCTAATTGCTGAAACCTTATTAAATAATAGCAAATCAGCAGGTAAGTTATAACACCTTCAACAACCATATTTCTTATAATCTAATAATTTTACAGGAGCATTTCGTAAATATTTAATAAGATTTTCTATCAGGAATTTATTTTTACAAGTGAATACTGATCAGAGCTATACTTTCATATAAAAGTTAGACAAAAACTTAGTACAGCATTCCACTCACAAACAGACAGCCAAACAGAGATACTGAATAAGATCTTGGAGAGATATCTCTGTGTCTATTGTAATTATAGGCAAGATAATTGGAAGAAGTAGCTTGTGTATGCAGAATTTGCATCAACTATCTTCTCAAAGAACATATGCCTGAGATGAGGAGAGCTGGGGAGGATGTGAACTGGAACTTTCAGATTTGATTACAGAATGCACATCAGACCAATGAAGGGTTATTACATGCATTCAGAGAAGCTGACAAAGATACAGAGTATGTTAGACAAGTAAATAAGCTGGTGATGATTCAGGTCAAAGAGCAGAAAAAAGTGTTGGAGAATCTGTGTCGCAAAGCCAGATACAACATGTACGAGATCATCAACAGACAGTCGAGATAAGGATATTAGGTGATGCAACTGGTGTTTCAGGGTTAGATTTGGGGTTAACTTGGTATTATTTTTGTCTACTTTATGCTCATTGTATCCCAAATAAAAGAGTTGTTCTATTAGGGAATAAAGGATCTTTACTGCTTCGGTTTCCCGATAGAGACATGGAAGACGGGCTTCCCTCGAGGCGATCATTTTAGTGGCTCCGACAGAAAGCAAGATGTCGGATCATAGATTTTCCTTCTCCGACGTTGATGGGTCCGCTGGTGGATGTGGCCGCCAGCATTTTTCTATACTGTTTGTTTTGGGGAATCTTTAAACCGAGCGCTTGTCTGCTATCATCACTCAATATCCCTTAAGCCAAAGATAGAAGAATGTTCTAGGTGCGACTTTCATTACACACGGCTTTCCTCATTCTTGCTTCATTTGGAGCGCGGCTTCTGCCAGTCTGGAATAGACCATAAAGATATCATGGAGTTTGCACCTGAGATTGCATGGTAGAAGATTGCCTTGCAGGTAAAGCGTAATTCCAAGTAGTATTTATCAATCCGTTGTCACCATCAAATCCTCCAAGCCACGCACTTTCACTGAATATGTACCCTGTTGGACCGTCGAGAACTACCGGCGCATGCGGTGTCCAGTGGGCGTTCATGCAAGCAAACTGGGATATTTCGTTTTCATATCAGCCCCACCCATTCAATGCAGACTGGTACACCTGGCCGAGTTCTCGCTTCTCCTCTTTTTGAAATTCACCATCTAAGATGTGAGGTTGATCTCGAATCACGTGGAGCAGGCTTGGCACTGCCCCTATCCCGGGCCGGCACACGTCGACCCAGAAAGCATATTTTAACGTCTCTACCTTCTCTTCTCTCATCAAGCTCAACGCTCCGTTTCAGTCTCTTGCACTTTCTTGACAACCTCACGCCCGATCATGATGGGATTTTCGTTACTACCGCGCTGCTTTATGCCAGATTTTACCTGGCCAAATCACATCTCACCTACAGTGACCAGCAAAATACCAGAAACACCTCGCGCGACCCACCCTAAAGTACGCCAATTATGGGGCATTATCCACAAATATCTGAGATTGTTCTCTGAGTCTTATTGTCGCTGGGTTGGGGCTACTTTTGATAATCAGATTGCTCAGCTTCCATTTGGGCTGATTCTGAAGTGGTCCGATGGTACTCGGTTAGAAGAAGTCTTGACAATGGAGGTTGCCAGAAGAGCAGGTCTCCCAGTTCCGAAGGTGATCTGCTATGGAGACCATCCAGATACTCCGCATGCTCCAGTATCAATTCTGATGACTCGTATCCCTGGTGATGAACTTGGCCGAGTTTACAAAACACTAAGCGACACTGAACGAGATTCGATCCAATTGCAATTAAAGGGTTATTTGGAAGCAGTCCGGAGATGGAAAAGTCCGTGGGGGGAGAACAGAATTTGCTCTTTGGTGGGCACAGCTATTAGGAGCATCCGTGTACCTAATCATCTTGTTGGCCCTTTTGAGTCAGAACAAGAGTTCAATGAATACCTCCGGAGCACTGCCTGGTCAGGTGGATTCCCATCAGAAACAGAATACAAGGATGCACTTGATTGTGCCAGAAAAATGGATCTGATGCCTCATCATATTGTTTTCACACACGGCGACCTCAAGCACCATAACATCCTTGTACAAAATGGACAAATTACAGGCTTTTTGGACTGGGAGTCGGCGGGCTGGTGCCCTGAGTATTGGGACTTTACCACAGCACTCAGGTTCATTCCAAAAGATTACTGGTGGTACAACTTTGTGATAGGGCTTGGGGGCGGCCCATACATGGCAGAACTGGATTGTGAACGGGCGTTGACTTCTCTAACAGTTGATTCGTATTCCTGGTGACATAGAATTGAAAAGGGCAACAGGGTGCATATCAGTGACTTCTTTACTTGTAATATAATTTCGATAAATCAAATACTCCCACTACTCGACAAGATTCCTTCTGAGTCTTCATTTCCCCTGACGGTTTCTCGAAACATGAGACTTGCACATTCCTCTGAGGCCCTATATAAAGGATGAGTGAGATACTATTGTAATTGGAGTTTAGATAGGATACTCATGCTGTTTACAGTCCGCACAATGCAGAGGCTCCTATAGGCCTTGGCTGCTCATTCACCGCAGCGCCCATTGCGTTTGCATTCCCCCAGGTCTTAACTTCGGTCTCCAGAGCCGCTAAATTGTCGCATTTCAGAATAACCTGACCGTTGACAGGCTTCTGGAGAAGGGCCAGAACCCAAAGCAACCAGACTCGGCATGAAATATCCGGATTATTTATCTGGCTGTCGTACGTCCTTATGGTCTGATCCACGTGTCCCTCCCAACCAGCCGGAATATCGGCGATCCTAAAAAGACCCACGAGAAGGAAGGATTTGAAAACTCCAGCAGTAGGCCCATGATTGGTTATCCAGCCGGCGCCCTGCTGCTTGATATGGTATTTCGTGCCGCCGGTTTGAGAATGACGGTGGAGGTAGAGGCCCCAGTGGAAATTGTCCTGAACTGGTGGATCATGCCTTATAAATAAAATGATATAAAGTCCGTTAACCTTGAGGTCGGATAGAGACATTTCGAGATGCGGATGCCGATAAAAATGTAGTATGGGATTTCGTTATAAAGGCGTTGTGTGGAATCTCGTTTTGCGGTTTTTGAGGACTTGGATGGGAGGCCACGCTCACTTTATATGTTGGGGCTTCCCAGCCCACCGTCACTAACACTCGCTGGCGGGTAAGAATCATATCCAGGGTTGCGCGCTGCTTCCAAATCACTCGGCAGGTCAGCACGTAGTCTAGGCAAGATAATTGGATGGCACGCACCGCTGTCCTTGACGCGCGAAGATGAAACTCAGCGAACGAATACTTTTGGCAATCTGAATCTAACCAACCAGAAAGATTCCAAGGACTCCGGATAACAGGCGCCAAAATTCACTTCCATCTTTTTATAGCTTATACTCCGTACTGTAGAAGAGGTTTGTGGCAGCACTCTTAGGCTCCGACCAGGACATGGTGGGAACGAGGTATCCAGGGATTGGAAGGATGGGCGGTAAAATTAGTTCATCGACTGGGACAATATGATCGAATGGAGATTGAAATTGGTGCATCATGCGCACGGTTCGTAGGCTGAGGTTATCCCGAAGGGGAGGGATGGAGGGTGCGAGGAGAACTCCAAAGGGAATGTAACTCTGGCAGACAAGTGGCTAAGAGCTCACAGGCAAGGTGCATCACTGAAAAATCCTTGCTTGCTTGCAATTTCCCCTTGCAGTGCTCTCGGCCAGGCCGAAAATTCAGTGCCGCGCCGCAAAATATGGCCATGAATTCAAAACATCACATGTGTCAAGATGACATCGGAGCAACCAATAAGGCAGCTTCCCCATGCCCAGTGCTGCTCAGCTTTCTCACGGTCGCCTCGCCGCCGTCAGATCGCTGACTCGATCCCCCAATAACTGCAATGGAAAGAAAGGATCATGGTCCAACCACCCACATTGCAAGCGGCTATTGACCCCGGCAGAGCCGCATGCAATGGAAGAAGCTCCAATCCCGCCGGTTCTCATGTCTGGGATTAAAATAGACTGGCCAAGACGAGGAGGAGTTTTCGCTGGCGCCAGTCAACCGGCATCACACTTTCGGATGGAACTTTGGGCGCTAAGGTCGTCCATTGGACGGTGATGTGATAGTTCGTGCATAACAGGTCTGAGGTAATAATTGAACGAGGGCAGCGAGAAGCGCCGAAGCTCTGCCCAGAATGTAGGCCCACGGGGACAGCACAAGGCAGCTTAGCGACTCGAATCTCCCATTTTTCAATGCAGACCAAGCCCCCTTGCATGGAGGGGTATCAGAGGTCCAAGCAGCTGTTGATAGATCAGCAATTCAGGGTGCTTAAGCTTTCAAAGAGAAGATAAATCAAAAAAAGCTGTTATGCGAGTTTTCCGAAAGAGCAGAGGCCAATGGTACATCTGCGTGTCCGTGCGGCTGCTGTACCCTGTGCAAGGGGGCAGGCTATGGCCAATATGATTGGTCCGGATATGAAAAGGCAAGGCTGGAAAACCTACAAGTTGATCATCGACATACCTCGCTGCTTTTGTCAAACCATACCGGAAAAATGAGCTTTTCGGGCAACCGTCGGAAACCGTTTATCCAACACAACCTGTTGAACCACAGGTCGCAAGCTTGAAACTGTAGATCAACCATATATTTACAATACACATACGGAGTATAAAGGGTCTGAAATGTATAGAATTTGGAATACTTATATGATGCACCAATTGAGGATTTTGAACCTGATTTGAAAGCTTTTCAATTACTAGGAAACTAACTAAGTATTACACAACCACCCACACAACCTGAATTGTAATGAATTTTTTTTTTTTTTTTAAATTTCAGAAGTCTTCTCACCAGTTGGAGTCTCTGGTTTGAGGACAGAGTATAAGACCAGTGCAGAAGAATCATCAGAGTGAGTTTATTTGAGCTGTCTGATTATACTTTTGAGCAAATTGACTTTACTGTCTTCAGTTGGAGACAGATCTGATACAGATATATTTGACTGCAACTGAATAAAGAGAGAAGACATAATTAGAATAGAGGAGGAGAAGAAAGAAGCAGATACAGCAGAGAGCAAAGCAGCAGTAAATCAGTTTATCTTAACTACTGATTTACAAATGATTTCTTCTATCTTTTGCTTTTTCTGTTATCAAATATTAAAGTCAGTTTAATTCATCTTAATATTATATCAAGTATACTGACTGCAGAAGATAAATAATTAAACTTTAAGTTCTGGTAAATATTGGCCAAAGTTCTTTCAATATTCTATATATATAACTATATTAGTATAAGTTAAATATATGATCTTCAATCAGTTCAATCTATCTTAATAGAGTGGAATGTATGCTTTGCAAGCTCTTTTTATTTGACTTGAATGAACACAAGCTTTTCTAATACTGTTAAAGTAACAGCATTAACTTCAGTATTGAAGAGAGAAGAAGAAGAAAATTTGTCAGTTTAAACTGATAAAGATATTATTTTAGCAAGTAATTTACTAAGACTAGTAGTCTGTTATTAGATGAACTGGTTGTAGGTTACATAAGTTTTCCCAGAATTTGAGGTATGAAAGAGCTAAGTAGATTCAATACCTACAACTGATAGAAGAGAGTCATGTGCAGAATATAGAGATTATCTAACTAGAAGACTAAACACTAAGGCTCTTACAATTTATACAAATTATGTAATTCTTATACATTTAGAGTTAGAGTTATATATGTGCCTCTGAACATTCAATATTATCTAATACTTTATTAGTCTAGATCTACATTTATAATACTATCTCTCTCTTCAGAGATCTCAGACTCTGAAGTATAGAGCTACTAAAGTAATTTTTTATACATCATTATTATAGCTTTTCTATTATTAGTAAAGCATTATAGATTATTGAATATACAAGCTTCTGCATTTCTACTACTTATCTATATAGATATTTCACATGCATATATCACTACTAGTTGCAGTAGATATTCTTTACTATAGAACAGTAGTTGTTTTATTACAAAAGTTCAGTATTTTGTTACATATTTCTTTATTTGTTTACTTGTCTAATTACTATATTATTTGGTGTCTGTTGTTAGATTATCTATTAACAAGTTGTGAAACTAGCAACTTTAGTGTATTGCAGTGTAAGTATAAATAAAAAGTTTCTTGCTTTTATTATTTTTTCTTTCTTTTTTTATATCTTGATGCAAACATTATTATTCTCTTTATCTTTATTATGAATGTAGATCTAGACTAACCAAGTATCAGATGATATCAGATGTTCAGAGATATTCATGTAACTTTAACTCTGAACATATAAGAATCACATGATTTGTATAAAGTATGGGAACTCCAGTGTTCAGTCTTCTAGTTAGAGAATCTCTACATGCTATATACAACTCTCTCTTATCAGTTACAGGTATTGTATCTACTTAGCTCTTTTATATCTCTAATTCTGAGAAAACCTATATAATCTACAACCAGTTCTTCTAACATTCTGAATACTCTGACATACAATTACCTAAGTCAGTATAATGCTACTAAGACTCACAAGACAAACCACAATAATATCTCATATTGCAGATCTGACAGAGATAGACACCAATATAAAGAAGATAAACATTGATAAAGATGCTGGTAGCAGTAGAGCCACTATTATCAAGACACCAGCAGATAATACAGACAACAGAGATACATCTTTTAATACATTAAATAAAAACTGAAGAGAGAAGATCTTTAAAGAAAAGAAGACACATCTGCAAAAGAATCTAGCAGATATATATGAATAAAATAAGATATACAGACTGCAGAAGCAGATAAAATATAAACAGAGAATAGCAAACAATAATTTTTCTTTAGAGTTTCTCTTACACACACAATTAATAGAGAAGTCAGATAATTTTAACAATGTGAAGTCTTCAAAAGCATCTTACTACTATAGCAAATCACTTGGCAAGTACAAATTGTGATTAGCTTTAATAAGACAGCAGTTTCACCTGAGAAAATCATTACAAAAGACACCAGATGCAGTTAGAATTAATTGAATATCCAGCTATTTTTATGATAAATCTCAGATGCATTAACAGATGTTGAGAATAGAGAGAGAACAACTACCTACATCATAAAATGAATTTGAGATATGGTGTAAGAATAATATTGAACTCAAGATAACTTATAGTTAAGATATAATATGACATTATTATGATATTGTTCAACAAGAGAATTAATCTATATTCTTGTTTTTTATATACATTGCCAAACTCAAACAGAATCTGAACAGTCTATCAGATGAATTCTTTTACATACTCTTTCTACAGACAAAGCTCAGACTAATTATCCAGACTGAACTGAATAAACTGCAACACTAATCAAAAATAGTTGCAGAATTACAAGAACAAGTGACACTTATTATTATTTATTATTATTATTATTATTCATTATAGTCTTATGCAGTCAGTGACTATGAAGACTACCTAACAGCTTCTCTGTTAAGATTTACTTAGTATACATTGTAGAAACTGAATAAAGGAAAAAAATTCAAAGTATTTCAAGGCAATATGAGATGTTCTTTCTCCACAAAAGTCAAATAGCAGATAGAGCATAATATTAATTTTAAAGGAAAATAATAATTCTTGTAGCAATGTGATACAAATCAAAAAGAAATAAAATTAGCATATTTGGGAAAGCCACTGTCTAGTAGCTATTTTAGTACATTTCAGAAATAAAACTAGCCATTTTAAGCCTAATTCAGTTTCAAAAATAAAATTTAAAAATAGTTGAGAAATATCAAGTTCTTGTTGAATTTTTCTTCTTTCAGTATGATAAGCTGAGCAGTCTAATAGTAGATGCTTTGGATTTTCAACACAATTACAGAAATAGCATAAATTGGAAGAGTAGTCAGATAATTTTATTAGATAAGATTTGAAATATCCATGACCAAGCTTTAATTGGCAAATAGTGGACCATATCTTCTTAGATATAGAAAAAGTAGATGCTTTCCATCTGGGTTTTATTTTGAATTGAAAGTAGTGATTTGTAGAACTTTCTCTATTAAAAAGATCTTCAAACTACTCTATCATGGCTTGTTCTTTTATTTGTCTTTTTATATAAGTAAGAGATATATATCTTTCAGAATAAACTTGATTCAATTCTGTAGCTTTCTTTGCTACTAGATCAGGTTCTGCATTTCCATGTAT